ATATTTTACTCGATTCCTCTTCCAGATATACAGAGTTGTTCACCACATACGACACGGAGTATTGTAGCTAAACGACAAGATTTTTACAAATTGTAAGTTTTGGGTTCGTTCAAGGACTATTGGAGCTACAATATAAAAATATTTTTACAAGATACAGAGTGTTCCAAATAAGTAAAAAATATCAAAGTTGTATTTTTTTAAATGGAACACCCTATATATTATTACATTTTTAGTTTCTACGATTAAAATAAAGGTAAATTTGATTAAGGTTTGGTTTGGTTTGGTTTGGTTTGAATAAAGGTAAATTAAAATAAAGGTAAATTTGATTAAGGTTTATTACACTTAAACCTTACCGTTTTTGAAATATTTGCAATTTTGTGAAATTGCAGTATAAATTTTAAGGCTTCATTTCTCCGAGGGTATCAAAGTTTTTAATACTAAATATTTACTGAAGTTTATTTATTGGTCAGTTATTGTGTTGCAATAATAAAAACTTTATTACCTTATACAGAGTGTCTAAACATTTATTTTAAATAATTACTAGCTTTAAACGGCAATAACTTGTTTCATTTAAATGGAACACCCTGTATATTTTATGAGAATCAGATGCACAATTTAATTGTCTATCAAATTGTGTTATACCGTTTTTTACCTATCTCTTCAAGTTTCCGTAGAAAATGCATTTTCTTGTAATTTAGAACTCATTTATTAATATACCCATGGAATACTGACATTTTAGGTTATTTTTAAAGATGTACCAAATTTTTAAAGAGTACAAATACTAATATTGTCGATATAGTTCATTCATTTCATTAAAACATAAAAAAACTGTTTAAATATTTGTTAAAGAGGACCAATTAATATGATTCCAGTATTGAAATTACATTAATTGACTGTTTGCGTTGATTAATAATAATTGCTTCAAATACTAAAAAACTGAATTATGTATGTGTATTAGACAGTGTGGTAAAAAGTAACATCTTAAAAATTATATTTAATTTTTTGACAAATGCTTATTTATAACAACAGAGACGTTCATTTTCATAACTTATTATTATATTGATTTCTGATTCAAATCCACATTTATTTAGAATAATTTATTAACGAACACAATTAAGTATGTAGTTAATTAGTATTTGGGCGGAAATACTGGTGGTATATTTAATTAATGATATACTCTTTTATAAAGATTTAAATAGTTTTCCTTTTGCATACAAATGGGCTAGTAATATCATCGTTTTGCTAAAACGATAATATTACTAGCCTGTACATTTTGTACATTTGTTGTTTTAAAAACAATTCCATGGGTATATTGATAAATGAGGTCTAAATTATAAGAAAATGCATTTTCTACGAAAACTTGAAAGAATAGGTATAATACAATTTGATAGACAATTAAATTGTGCATCCGATTCTCATAAAATATACAGGGTGTTCTATTTAAAGTAAATAAGTTATTGCCGTTTAGAGCTAGTAATTATAAAAAAAAAATAAATTTTTAGACACTCTGTATAAGGTAGTATAATTTTTATTATTGCAACACAATAACTGATCAATAAATAAACTTCAGTAAATATTTAGTATTAAAAACTTTGATATCCTCGGAGAAATGAAGCCTTAAAATTTATACTGCAATTTCGCAAAATTGAAAATATGTCAAAAACGGTAAGGTTTAAGTGTAAAAAACCTCAATCAAATTTACCTTTATTTTAATCGTAGAAACTAAAAATGCGATAATATACAGGGTGTTCCATTTAAAAAATACAACTTTGATATTTTTTATTTATTTGGGACACTCTGTATCTTGTAAAAATATTTTTAAATTGTAGCTCTAATAATCCTTCAACGAATCCAAAACTTACAATTTGTAAAAATCTAATCGTTTAGCTACAATACTCCGTGTCGTATGTGGTGAACAACCCTGTAGAGTTTTTAAAAATTCGCTCACTTTGAATAAGTAGGCTTTGAACGGCGACGCCGCGGATGTAGTGCAAAAATAATTCTGGCTGTGAGCAGCAATTAAAACGCAAATAATAATTCTCAATTTAAACTATATTTAACAACATCTACACATTTAAGCTATATTTAATAACAATAAAAACTAATAGCAAACCAAGACGTCAGATTTTGCGACATGTCGACCGTTTTCTGTTATGAACAGACGGGACCATTGTTTGAACATTTCTCGCGGAATTCATTAACTCAGTGGGGGCGAAAGATACCCTCGTATAACCGCTAAGTACTCTAAATTCTTGTCTACTTTATAGGGGCAATTTAAAAATAAAAACCTTTATTCTTCCACAAAGATAAACATCCATAAGCGCTAACTCCGGCGGTCTCGACGGCCAACGGCTGGGATCTTGGTTAGCTATTCACTTATTCTCGAAATTGGCTGACAATTTAAGCATTCTGAGGCGGTGTCTCGTCTTGCTGGAGAAATATATTTTCGAGTTCTATTAGGTGCAGATCATCAATATGGAGTCCAAAGCCTAGTAGTTAAACTTAAAGAGGCGAACTTTTAAAAAATCTATATTTCGAAGGGGACTATAACAAAATATGTATCAAGTGTGCTATATATTTGGAAAGGTAATTTTAAGTCCTTTTCAGTTAATTAAAAATACACAAATAAAAAAATCATTTTTTCTGTTGATAACTCTTAAATTATTAATTTTAAAGAAAATATACTTAAACCATTAAATTCTACATTAAAAATGGAAATGTTTTCATAAAAATTCATAATTTTCCATCGCAAAAAAGTTACAGCTATTTGTTAAAAATGTACAGGGTGAGTCAACGATAGAGTAAAGTCCATTATCCCATTTGTTTCGAGGTTTACAAAAAAATGTTAAATACAAAAGTTATAGGGAAGGTTAAGATACACATTTTAAAATTATTATAGAGTACAGGGTCCTTCAAAAATGTGTGGCGGATATAACATATGTTTTTTTTTAAATTCAACACCATATTTTTTATTTTATTTTTAGATTCTGCGTAAAATTCTATAACTTTTTTATATATAATGTTATATACCTAAAATTAATAGTTTTTGTAATATTTAAATTTGTTTATACAAATGTTAAATTGCAATGTGGTAAAAAATTGTCAGTTGTACCATTGTTTCTGAAGTTGGAATACCAAAATTTGGTATGACAGTTCTATAGAGATTAAAAAGAAGATATATGTTAAGATATTTTAGTTAAATGCTACAGGGTGTTCAAAATATATTTATGAATTTCAACTACTTAAAATTAAAAAATCTCAAATTTTTAAATAGTACACCTATAAATTTTCATTTTTCTGATAGATTTTGAAAAAGCTCTTTATTAAATATGTCATATACCTATTTTAATAGTTTGCGATTATTCCATTTTTTTCTATTTTTACCCTAATTTTTAATACAATTACGCTATAACATCATAGTTACCGTAACAAAACAAACATATTTATTACTTATTTTTAATAAGTAGTTTAATAATTAGTTACAATTGTTATTATTAGTCAAAATTAACTAACTTTACTCAAATAAACTAAAATCGTAGTCGTGAATTTCTTGGTGTATTTCTATATTATGAAAGATTGACATTTGGATTTTCCGTCGGGCCGAACAGCCACAGATTATGGTAATGCTAACTAGATTACTTAATTGTTGACGACTACTGATATTGAAATTTTCTCCGACATACAGTAAAGTTTTTGTTCTCGTAGTAATTCTGGTTTATAATTCATTTCGTAAAGCCAATATTACTACTGCCACAAAACCGTCCCATTACACACTGAAAATATAATAATATAATATAATATGAAAATGTTTTCTAGATAATCTACATCTATTCTTGTAGTACTTATTGCAAAGTACTATATAATATATAGTACTGAACCAAAAAATATGTTTATTTTGGCTTGTTCGTGTATATCAGTCAGATTGACTAATCCATTTTCAGGAAAATCTGAAACTATTACCTCTACCTCTAACATTTATACTTATTACAACAAATTAAACTAAAATTGACCTTTTGTTCTTAACTTGCTTAATAGACATATGAAATTTTGATAATAATTATTATTTTTTGTCATGGTAACTATGATGTTATAGCATAATTGTATTAAAGATATGGGTAAAAATAGAAAAAAATTGGAATAAATCGCAAATTATTAAAAATAGGTATATGACATACTTAATAAAAGAAGTTGAAGAGCTTTGCAAATCTATCAGAAAAAATGAAAATATATAGAGTTGTACCATTTAAAAAATTTTAGATTTTTAATTTTAATTAGTTGAAATTTATAAATATATTTTGAACACCCTGTAGCATTTAACTAAAATATCTTAACATATATCTTCTTTTTAATCTCTATAGAACGCTCATAGCAAAATTTTGGTATTCCAACTTCAAACAAATGGTACCACTGACAATTTTTTACCACTCTGCAATTTAACATTTTGTATAAACAAATTTAAATATTACAAAACTATTAATTTTAGGTATATAACATTATATATAAAAAAGTTATAGAATTTTACGCAGAATCCAAAAATGAAATAAAAAATAGGTTGTTGCCTTTAAAAAAACATATGTTATATCCGCCACACTTTTTTGAAGCACCCTGTATACTCTATAATAATTTTAAAATGTGTATCTTAATCTTCCCTATAACTTTTGTATTTAACATTTTTTGTAAACCTCAAAACAAATGAGATAATGGACTTTACTTTATCGTTGACTCACCCTGTACATTTTTGAAAAACACCCCGTAACTCCGAAACGGTGGCAGATATTGATGTGCGGTTTTCACCATCATGTTTTTGATAAAAATTGAGCTCCAGACAGATATTAGTTTTCGTCTATCTCCTATAGAAAAGGGTGATTCCTTTTAAAAGCGTCATGAACATGCCACTGAAGAATATTTTACGAAATACCGAGATGGGACCGGACCTACGATCAGTATTATAGTTTGTATCATCTCTAAAGCTCCTTTTAAACTTATTATATATTCCTTACCATTTACAATATCCTCCATCAACACCTCATTCCGACTTTCCTCCTCTTCGCCCTCCTCCTCCTCCACAATTTCATTATCGATCAACGAGTCCATGTCGTCGATCTCCTCCGAACTGTTCTTGTTCTGAATAATCATTTTAAAATGAACTTATCCATGGCTGATGGTTGTGTTTCCGCGTCTCTGCACAAATTTATTACCAATAAGTCTTAATCGACCAGGATTATAATAATAAATAAATAAACGATGGGCTGGCTTGTTGGATTAATCGTTTAGCACGAGAAGCATGTATTTATATAGTTGGTTGGTTGCTATATTCTCCTTTTAATATACAGGGTGGTCCGAACTGTATTCCGGAAACTTCGGCAGCATATTCTGTAGATAAAAATAAGCAAAAAAGTTCGTATAAATGTATGTCCAAAAATGCTTAGTTTCGGAGATACAGGGTGTAGAAGTTTCATTTTTATTTCGATTTTTTCTAAATAATTTCTGAAGTAACGACAATATTTGGATGAAAATTGGTGGATCGGTGGTTTTTGACATGAGAAATTTGTGTTTACCTACATGTGTTTTAACTGTTTTGAAGAGTAATAATTTTTCGACCGTACCTGTATAAAACTACTGAGTAAAAAAATATACATTTGCGACTTTTTTTACATAAAAAAGGTCTCTTGGTAAAAATCGCTACGAGTAATGGTTCTCGAGATATTTGGAATCGAAATTATCAATACCTGTCATCATTGACATAAATTAAACATGTTGACTAAATAGTTATTAGGTAGACTGAAATCATAAATTTGAAATCTTTTTATGTCAAAAGTTCAAAAGAAACTGTTTAAGCCGGAGTCTTATGCATCCGAAATCCGATGGTACGACATCCGAAATTTGAAGTTATCGTGTGAAATAAAAAAAGCCTGTCACATATATCCGAAAGTTCGTTCCGAAATTTGACAGTTTTGACATTTAGACCTGTCATTCCTATGTATTATTATTATGTATTATTCCATGTATTATTGGAGAAACACTTATAAAAATAAATTCCTCGCCAAATATCCCGAAATTGCCCACTTTCCACTAAACTTGATTTTAAAAACCAATGTTTTCAAAAAAAGTGAGGTTAAAAAACACACCATATCGTACAAAAGTTAAACAAAATTTAACTTTATACGAAGTCGGACGATTAGTTAAAAAGATCGGATAAAAATTGGTGTCAAAATATTTCGACCAATAGGAGCACCGTCGGATCGTCGTGTCATCGGATTTCGGATGCATGAGACTCCGGCTGTCAATAATGACATGTATTGACTATTTCCATTCTAAATATCTTGAGAATGGTCGTAGCGATTTTTACCAAGAGACATTTTTTACATAAAAAGTCATGGAAATATATATTTTTTGAGTCAGTGGTTTTATACAGGTACGGTCGAAAAGTTATTACTCTTCAAAACAGTTAAAACACATGTAGGTGGCGCCCCCTATAAACAGGAGTAATTTTGACATCAAAATCAAATTTCTCGTGTGACAAAACACACAGATGCCAATTTTCATCCAAATACTGATGTTAGTTCAGAAATTATTTGGAAAAAATCAAAATAAAAATGGAACTTCTACACCCTGTATCTCAGAAACTAAGCATTTTATGACATATATTTATACGAACTTTTTTACTTATTTTGATCTGTAGAATATGCTGCCGAAGTTTCCGGAATACAGTTCGGGCCACCCTGTATACTGTACATAATTCATATAAAGCTGTTCTAAATCTGTAACGCTAGATATGGAATATTAAAATATGAAAAATACTAAAAAAACTTAAGAATGTTTACTCATTTACTAATGTAGAAAATAAATGTTAAAAGTTACATACAGGGTGAATCTTGTTTAAGTGTGTGTATATTTTGACCTCGAAAACACGATTAGGGTTTTTTTTCGCGATTTTTTTTTTAATTTTAAGTTTTTCCAAAAAAAAATTGGGTTTTTTTTTAGTTTTTTGTTAATAAACATGATTTTTTCATAATATGGCAACATATAGGTACTAGATTAAATTTACAGGAAAGAAAACACAGAAAATTGCCAATTTTCGGAAGTAATTACCCAAGTGCACCAAAATTACCGATAATTTTTCATGAAAGCATATTGTCTAAAAACTGCATGCGTTTATATTCATATTTTGCCATTAGCTCTTCCAAAATATGAATATAAACGAATGCTGTTTTTATTGACAACATGCTTAAATGAAAAATTATCAGGTTAATTTTGATGCACGTACGAGTGTAATTCGGTAGAATATTTCCCGAATAAAAAATCATGAAAATACAAGTGAAAATACATAGGTTTTTTAAAAACATTTATTTGAGCATATTAAAAAAAATCTATTTAAAAATGAAGCAATAAAATGAAACAGAACTTATAATATTAGAATTAAAAATTACATGAAGAATTGCAGTAAAGAAAGGTGCCCGGTGGCGTAGAGGTACAGGCTCTCGTCTACCAATCTGAAGGTAGTGGGTTCGAATCCCACACCCGGCATTTCATCAGCCGACTATTTTTATTAAAATAAAAATAGTTTGGGTACCTAGGTCGACTCAGCCTTAAATGAGTACTTGGGATTCACAATCCTGAAATAATAATAGGCGGTTGAAGCGTAGTGCTAGCCACGTTCCCTTCCTTGTATACCGAACGGCTCTAGTATGGCAAGCTGTACCTTGCTACTTCCAAGGCGTTAAACGCTATATACGGGAGCTATTATTATTATTATTGCAGTGAAAAACACCAGTTATAAAAATTATTATGTTTAGATTCCATTGCGGTACTTGAAGATGCTGAATTTAAATATGCTGAATTTGAATTGAAATTAAAAGAACCTATAGTAGGTATTATCCCAGAATATCTAGCTACGCAACAGAAAAATACTCGAAATGAAAGAGCTAAAATTGCACAAATAAAATACTAGATGGCGTGACAATATCATAATCAGAATATAATTGGAAATTTTGAACTTTCGGTTTTAGATCGACGGCCCGTCGACCGCCTTGAAGCTCGCCTAAAATGCACAGTTGCCAGATTCAAAAAGACCTTTAATTGGCATCCCATTCGTTTTCTGGTGTATAATAGTTTCTTTCTATTCTTCTTTTCTTGTCAGACACACTTATGTTAATTATTCGTTTGGCTTTTAAAATAGTTTTAAGTATATTATTACAAAACATACTCAAAAAATACATTTTTAATATACACTACCTTGTATTGTTAACTAAGAAAATACCTTTAATTACCTTTAAAAATATACAGGGCGATCGATATTGTAATATTCATTAATGCTGGAACATTAGTAATGAAATATAAGTTTAATAATAATGGAAATAATTTATTAAAATGCAATAGCACACAACAAATCTTTATAAAGAAACGCAAGTATACCAAATTTGGACCCAATCGAAATCCAGGAAATGATATCATAATATTGTACTCCACTCGATATGCTTCAAGGTACCATAATATTGCAATGTCACCGAAGATCCGTAGTATACCAAGTTTAAGCCCAATCGATCGCCAGGAAATGGTATCGTTATATGGTACTACATTATGGTACCTCTTGATATGCTTCATGGTACCATAATATTGCAATATCATCAAACATACGCAAGTATATATCAAATAAGAGCCCAATCGAACGTCAGGAAGTGATATCATAATGTAGTACTATAGAAGGTACCACTTTATATGCTCCATGGTACCATAATATTACAACTAAAGATACTACTAAAGATAAGTAGAATACCAAGTTTAAGCTCAATCGAACGCCATGTATCGTAATATGGTACTATATTATGGTATACTATTTCCCTTATAAAATGACAGCGATCTTCATTTCATAGCCATCGCTAACGCCGTTTTTCCCCGATCATACGGTATAAAGTATGAACACAATTGAACGTCAGGAAGTGGTATCATAATAGTAGAGCGATACTTATTATATTGTCGCCGAATTACAATCAAACGTCAGGAACTGATTGTAATTCAGCTTGTAAGATTTAACCCCTACTAATATGGCAAGTTAAATACTTAAACCTGACTTAAACGTATGAAAAAAAGCACTGATCTATTTTAATATGTTTAAATGATCTAGCAAATTTGAAGGTAGGCTTTATCAGGAAGTATTACAATATGAATTACACAATGGCAACACTGCACAAAATTCTTTTAAATTTCGTTTGTAGAAAACTATTTTCTTTTAAATTTATCGCCCTCCATTATGTAGTAGCGAAACTACCGCATCAAAATATCTGATTTGGAGACAGGCTTTAAAAGCCTGTCTCCTTTTGATACCTACAGTTTTATACATGTAACGAGGCTTCTGTTGCGTAGCCTAGATATTCTGTGGTATTATACAAAAACATTAGTATTATTATTAGAACTTTTAGCAGTTTCATTGTCTCTCATTTTTTCTGGTGATTAATTATAGTGTTTTTCGGCTTACTTTCGGCAACTTTTTCTTCAATTGCACTTAAAGAATTGTTTCCAAGTCGAGACATTTTTAGAGAATACCTTTTAAAAATAATTTACGTCTAGGTGACAAATGTGTCATTGTCACTTAGACATTCTGCGGGAAATTCTCGTCGGGTAATTTTCGATTTTAGCGGTCAATTTTCGCCGAAAATTACCCGCTTCATATGGGATTTTTTGTACATGAGTGAAATATTCAAAGTAAAATAACTTGGGACTTGCTGTTTTTATCGAGATCTACCATCAGCTATGAAAATATATGCACTTATTTAAGACTCGCTCTGTATATGTTTTTCATGCGACTGCTATCTAAAACCGGCGTAAATACCCGATCTACCCGTGCAGTAAATACTGTATGATCGAAAAAAAAAAACGGCGTTCAGTTGGCTGGAAATTAACATCGATGACATTCCCCATATGATTGTACATATAAAATGATAGCGATTTTCATTTCACAACCATCGCTGACGCCGTTTTTTTTTTGATCGTATTCTAGTTTATAACACAAGGGATGTGTGTATATATACAGAGTGAGTGTTAAATAAGTGCAAATATTTTCAGAGCTGGTATCGGAATTTTAAATTATAATCTTTATTTTCGAGAAAATTTAGTCCAAACATAAGGAATATTTTGTTGATCTTTGACCATCAAAATCTTAAAAATAAAAAAGTTGTCTAAAA